TATTGTGGGAGCAGACCCCTTTGGGCCTTCCTATGTGCTTGTTGTACCCCACATATCAGGACCTATCTTGTCTTCCATGCCTCAAAACTGCTGCCTTTCACTCGTGCTGGCGCGTTTCGTGATCGGCCACCACAGTTTGGACCTCCTAACCCTGGAAAGGGATATGAAGTTGAGAGCATTGAGGATCAATGGGCCACTGGCCCCGACTGTGAATATCTTGTCAAGTTCCTTTTCCAACCTCATATTGAGGACTGCTGGTTTACAAGAAAGGAACTTCTCAAGTCAGCAAATTCAGTCGTGCGGTTCTACTAGGCTGAGCAAAGTGGGAAATTGCCCAGGCGGTCTCCTCGTGGACACTCCTAGCTCGGGGTCCTCGCTCCCCGGGAGGATAGGAATGCAATGAATTGCAGTGCTACAAGCGGGCTGTATACTAATTTTGTCCCTACTGTCGCTGTCGGGACTTGATCCCTCAACCTTTGTCTGTTGTGTTGCTTGTTTGCCTGCTGTTTGTTTGTTTTGAGCCTTCCTGGACTTGATCCCGTGACTTGTAACTTGTGTGTGTTTTGTTTGTGCGTGTTGCGTCCCCTATGACTCGATCCCCGAGTCTATCACCAGTGGTCTCTGTGTGGTAGTCTTAGGCCATGTGACCTTTTCTTTCGCCTTGTCTTAGGTCTAGGTCCCCTTTTCCTGGATTTCCATCCCGATATAGATGTGCCTGGGAAATCCCTCGTAGGTCTAGTCCGTGAGTCTAGAAGTAGCGGGAGGAAAATAGAGTCAAGGTCTTTTGCATCTCGTTTTTGCTGGGGAAACTCTGCCTGTCCGTTGTTGGAGCGCTGCTGCTCTATGTTGGGCGAGGTCATCTTCTTCCTCGAAGCCCAACCATAGCTGGGGTTGGGAAACGAAGTTGAAGATCGCACTGCTGTTATTTCGCAGCTCTGCACGAGAGCTTCCACAGGACTGTTGTTGGGTTTGCTTGCTGCCATCTTCCACTTGGCAGCCATGTCTGCTGTTCCTCCTCTCGAGGAACTTCGTCTTCTTCGAAGTGCTGGATCAGTTGTCTCCTTCTTCATCAGGACTTCCAGTGCTTGCGGGTTCAGATTGGCATGTTGTGACAGCTGTGGGGTTACTGCTGCTACGACAGCCATAGCCAGGGGTATGTGGTGGCGAGGAGGAAGAAGAAGACTCCTGCATACTTCATTGAACACTTGTTTCTGGTTGTTTGGGGTTGTTGTAAACGTGGTTGTGATTCTCGGAACAAGTATTCTGGATTGATTGGAGGAGGACGGGGGATTACAGAATTGAAATTCGTTTTTCAATTCTCTGTATACTTTGAGCTTCCGCTGTGCATATTTTCTCTCCGGTTTTGTGTGGATTTGCCTCCTTCGAGTCTACTCTGCAATTGCATGCGTGTATGGGAACATGTGAATTCGTTGTGGATTGAAGTTCAATCGGGTACATAACACTTTTCTGTGATGGGTACAACCTTTTACAGGCTTTACACCAGGGCCAAGCTGCGTGATTGAGGGCAAGCTTTTCTTTGGCAATGATCCAGTCAAGAGTCAGGAGGCTACTATTTGTAATCTACCACAGTAAAGGTCGGGATTTAGCAGTCCCAGCACCTTTGGCCCCTAGACCTCCTAACCACTGGATTCCAGTTAGCAGAGATATATCCAAGGCCAGGTGTCTGTACCATCTGTCAGTGACCCCCAGACATCTTTTCTCTATGTCTGAGGAGGCTACCCCTTTCATATGTTCTCAATTCTTGTTGGCTCTTGTATGTTTCTCAATTGCTGAGGGACAAGCCTGGTAGCTCAGTGGGCTAGAGCTCTGGTCTTGCAACGGGGAGGTCACGGGCTCAATTCTGTCGTCCCTCAACCTCCCCTGTGCCAGTTGGTGCTGGGTTGGCCCCCCATGTACGTGTCTCCCAGCCTAACAGCACAGAGAGAGACCAATTAATGTGGTAGCTCATTAGGGTTGAGCTGGGGTGGTGCAAGGGAGAGGTCCAGGGTTCGATTCCGATCAGCCCTATGTGAAGAAATAGCTCGGTTCCAGAGAGGAGGTAGTTTGTGGTCGTCCTAGTTGATGGGGACATGGGGGCAAGGGGCGCATTGTTCTGAGGGCATTGCTGTTAATGGGAGATGATGCCAGGGTTGGGCAAGATCAGCTAGGGGTTTTTCCTACTCTGACAAAGGGAGACCACAGAGCGAGTGATAGCCCTTGCAAAGGGTGGCAGCGTAGAGTCAAGGGGGTATTCACAGGAACAGATGGGTGCACTGCTCCAAGGGCACCATTGTGGATAAGCGATGATGCTGGGACATCCATTCTTGAAGGGCTTGGGAGGTGCAAACGCAGATTGGGGTTGCCCTGCTCTGATGAAGGGAGCGGGGCAGAGCAGAGTCAAGGGGGACGTGCCCACTCTAAAAAAACGATTAGACCATGACCGATACAATGACAGAATAGGCCCCAAAACTGTGAGAAACTAGAACAGTATGACCAGAATAACCCAGACACAACAGCAGTACAACTACAGAGCGACTTGAGAGGGTTCTAGAAGAGTGGATGGTGGCCGTTCATGTACTGATAATACGCTAGAACTTCTTGTCATAATTAGAACAAGAGCAATACTGTGATACGCATAACCTCACACCCTCCACAGCATCTCGTACTCCTGTGTGTGCCAAGCACAGTAATTGGGGCATGACCGAAGATTTTGGGCGGGGGATTAAAACGCCGGGACGAGACCAGGTGCAATCAGACTCGTCTCATTCACACTTTTCATGCGTGTAAACAGCGGCACAACAAACTGGCGACATGCGCCCACAGAACTCAGAGATATGGTGTCCAGATAAGAGTTCGCTTCCAATGGCTATGGCGACTCAGTGCCCAACAACTCACTGTTCACACACCGGATCACCCTGGATATCCCACACGCATCACTCTGAACACTCACACGTCACACACACACACCAGCTACAGCTATGGCAGCCGTGACTGCCTCTACGCTATCGCTATGCTAAGCTCTCCTGGCCCACTTCGACTTTGGGCACACTGCAGACCTCCTCGCACAAGCCGCTGAGACAGCGCTTCCGCATGGCTTCCGCAGGAATGAATGAATGGCTGTGTGCGGCCTCTTGATTTATACTTCTGTGACTCGTTGGTCTGCCCTGTTTCCCTGGCCCACGGTGTACACAGTCCCAGGCAGTACTTGCTTGACTGGACCGGACTGACTGGACTGGGACTGCTGACTCTGCACGGTGGACTTCCGCCACTTGCCCAGTTGCCTTGACCTACAGTGGGCTGACTCCGAAAGGCCACTTCCAGAAACATCTACCTGGCCTTTCGGTACTGTAGCAGCTACGACTCTGCCCTTTCAGGTAAGTAGCAGCTACGACTTTGACCCTTCGGAAAGTCTACAGCTAAGACCTCTGGACTCTCTAGACTCCTACCCGACAGCTCTACAGTTCGAATCCCCTATACCCTGTAACCTACGACGACCTACCTACCACTGGCAGTCCTACAGGTCGCGGGTTCAACTCTACGGGTTGACACAGGTACTGTACACMGGTAAGGTGGGGACTAGGGATCGAGCCCTGGGATCTGCATCAGCTACTGCGAACTGGTGAATACCGTTTCACTCCCGCCGCCCTAAATTCGAGGTCCTCCGGGAATATTTCAGTCCAAGGCAGGACCTTTACCTTTTCTGTCCCTTTCGTAGGCCTTGACCATATCGGGAGCTGTTTCCAGAAGTTCAGTTCTAGTGAACCACCGGTCGTCTTGTGGTTCCTGATATGCAAATCTGACTTTATACTGTTTTTGAGGACGACCTCGACCTCCTGTTCTAAACACGTCTTCACCTACAATGCCGTCAATGTCGTATCTCCCATCCATGTCGGGAGGGATCATGAAACGTCTAGATGGAAACTGATCACTGACTGTGCATGGCGACAACTTTGACGCATGGAAAACTGGGTAGGTGTGGAGGTGTAGTGGGATCTCTATCGAGTACGAGGGAGCATCCTCGCCGCCCTTGACTTCTAGAACTGGCCACGGTCCTCTATACGCGGGCAGTAACTTTTGCGAGATGTTCTCCTCAGGAGCAAACTCTTTAGCTTTGACCCAGACTAAGTCGCCTACTTGGAACTGTGATGGGCGGCGATGTTTGTTGGCTTGCTCTATCATCCTATGCTGGGCCTTCCTGAGGTTCTCTACAACAGTAGCTAGTTCTTTCTCGTGTTGGATAGCAAACTCCCTAGTACCGGGCGGTAGCCTATGGATCTGGTCCCGGTTAAGTCCTTCAAATGGTCTACACGGTCTAAAGGGCTTGTGCAGTTCGTTGGGAGTGCGGCACGTAGATAGATGCACACTATTGTTATAAGCACTGGCTACCTTGGGGAGCATATCATCCCCGTCAATTTGATCTGGTCTAATGTACATTCTCAAAACTTGCTGCAGGATCTTATTCATCTGTTCAGTCTGACCGTTGGTCTCTGGGTGACGGCCAGACGACATCAACAACTTAGAGCCATAGACTCTCATCAACTCTTGCCAGGTCTGACTTGTGAACCGGGTGTCTCTATCCCTAACTACGGACAATGGGACCCCGTGCTCACTGACCCAATGATCAAAAAACTTACGGATCACTAACTCGGTCCGTGCCTCTGAAGGCAAAGATATAAAAACAACGTACTTACTAAATCTATCGACTATCACCATAACTTGGCTTTTGCCATGTCTACTCTTGACGCCTGCGTCCATGAAGTCGATGGACACTGAATCTCCTGGCTGATCGGGAATAGGCAAGGGTCTGAGAAGACCTAGCGGGGCACGCATAGTAGTCTTATTCCTCTGGCAAACCTTGCAACTGCGGACATACTCTATGCAGTCATTCTTCATTCCTGGCCAGGTGTACGCGTGCATTAGATTGGCTAAAGTCTTTTGCCAACCAAAATGACCCTCCGTGTCGTGACATTCTCCTAATATCAGACTACGGATCTCTTCGCTATTGGGAATGCACAATCGGTCAAACACGTTAGTCTTCTCAAAAAGCAATCCCTCAGTAGTGCGGTAATCTGGTTCGGTCTATGGGGCCTCCGTTACTCTCTTGAGGAGGTCACTATAGATAGGGTCCTGCGCATATGCTTCTTTAACCTTTTGCTGCAGTTCTCTCCCTATGTCCAGATAGTGAACTATCGCTCCAAAGTAGTCAGCTCTCCTACTCAGAGCGTCCGCAACTACATTATATTTACCCTTAACTGGCTTAAGCTCAAAATCGTACTGGTCTATTTCTGCGACCCACCTAGTAAGCTTAGGTGTCATCTTCGCCTGCGTCTTTAACCATCGTAACGTTTCGTGGTCAGAATAGACTTTGAAATGCCTCCCAAGCAAGTAGTGCTTCCAGTGTTCTAGCGCTTGCTTGAGAGCGTAGAGTTCCCTCCCGTATGTCGCAACCTTCTCTGAAGGCATCCTAGCAGACATGAACTCTACGGGCCTATAACCATTGCCATCGTCTTGCTGCAGAACAGCAACTATGTCGTACTGACTAGCGTCCGTAGTGACGACAAAAGGTAAGGACGGATCGGCCACCTTAAGGACTAGATACTCTATCAGTGCTTGTTTCAACTTCTTCATAGCAGACGTGCAGTCCTTGTCCCAKTTCCAGATAGTCTCTTTTCTAAGCAGTCTGCGAAGGGGCGCAGCGATAGTGGAGAAGTTCCTTACGAACTTCCTATAATAATTTGCTAGGCCTAAGAATGATCGCAACTCTGTCAACGTACGCGGTGTAGGCCAATCCCTGATCGCTGCAATCTTACTATCTTCTGGCTTGATGCCGTCTCCGTCTAAAACGTGGCCTAAGTATAAAACTTGGGTCTTTGCCCATTCACACTTCTTTGCGTTGATCTTGAAGTTAGCTTCTCTCAGCTTCTCCAAAACCTGCCTGAGATGACCCTGATGCTCTTGGAGGGTCTTGCTAAACACTATTATATCATCCAAGTAAACTACAACAGACCTATCTAACCATGGCCTAAACAAATCATTCATACATCGCTGGAAAGTCGCTGGCGCGTTGGTTAGTCCAAAGGGCATCACGATGAACTCGTAGTGCCCGTATCTAGTCCCGAAAGTTGTCTTGTACTGATCATCAGGATGAACCTCTATCTGATGATATCCGGACTTTAGATCTATCTTCGTGAAATACTTGCACCCCTGCACTCGATCTAAAAGATCATCTATCCTAGGCAGTGGCTCAACATTCTTGATAGCATTCAGACCCCTATAATCTATACACATTCTCAGCTCTCCCTCCTTTTTGGGAACAAAGAGAACAGGTGCTCCAAAGGGAGACGAACTGGGCCTAATCCGACCCTTCTCGAGGAGCTCGCCTAATTGCTTGCGCAGCTCCTCTAACTCCCGCGGGGACATCCTATACACGGCTCCCTTCGGCGTTCTACTGCCAGGCTCTATCTCAATTCGATGCTGGATGGGCCGCGGAACTACTCCTATCGGCAGCTCAACTAGATCTTTAAACTCCTCCAGCAGCTTGGCAATAGCAGGGTCTATAGGCTTTTCTTCCTTAGTCTCAGTTACTGGCCTAACATAGGCTACAAAAACATGTTCCTCTAGTTGCTCCTTCTTCACTAGCCTTGCAAACGCAGGAGCACTAAGGCAGCAATGCGCCAGGGAGTTGTCTACTCCTGACACATGGAACAGACGGGCAGTCTTAACGCCGCCTGACGGACTAGGGAGCGTACACTCGTGCTCTCTCAAATGGAGTGTGGCCCCTGCTGCCTCTCCCCAGTCCATACCTAGGACTATGTCAAACGGGAGGCTATCCTCTACGAGGAGATTCGGGGAATGGAGAACTTTCTCCACTTTCCCATCCTTTTCTCGGCGAAAATACGCCTGGACTCCCTCTACGTACTCTTCTACTCGCATGGTGCGATTGTCCGCGAGGATACTCACGATGGGGTCCGCTAATCTTTGGACTTTTAGTTGCAACTTCAGCTTCTGTAGCGCCTTCCTACTAATATAACTACGAGTGGCTCCACTATCCACTAMRGCGCCAACTCGACCTCTAAAAATCTYTGTGTCTACTAATATAAGCTGCCCCTTATTCTCCTTTTTCATCTTGGCCCAGGCGGGCATCCTCTCCTTCAATTCTTCAGCCACGCCTGTGAGGGAGGTGTCTAGAGAGACTCTAACACAAGCAGTCTCTGGACAGCCATCTAGACACCGGCCTGCAACCTCTGCCATAGGCACATGTGGTGTGGGAGTCTCCTGCCGGCTAGCGCTACTTTCCCCACATGGCCTTATGGTAGGGGCAGTTGCTACCCGTACCGGTGGCTGCCTTTTGGCCCTTGAGCAGTCGATCGGGTCTCTCTATACTTCGGACATTATTTAATGATGTGGCCAGGGTCACCGCAATAAATGCACTGCCCCTGGTTCACACGCTGCTGCCATATGCGTTGGTCCAAACCCAAATCTTCCCAAGGAGTGCCTTGAGGCAGTCCTAGGTGCCAACCACTTCTTCTATAAGGGGACCTATTCCCAGACCGGTTTTGTGGGGGACCTTGACCTCTTCCTCCCGCTTGGCGGTTTCCTCCTCTGCCGCCAACCCCCTGATCGCTCTGAGAACGGTTCCCTGAGGCCCGTCCCCCTTGGCCTTGGCGTCCTCCTTCTCCTTGCGGCCTCCCTCCAGCCGCGACAGCAGCGTAAGTCCTCCCTTGACTCGCGCCACTGTCTTCGTCCTCTAACCCACACTCAATCTGTTCGTAGGGGATCTCGTCAACACTACCTTTATCTAGAGTGAGGACAAGACTATCCTTAGTTTTAACTTGCCCTGAGATAGTGCGACCTTTCCATTGCTTCCCTTTGTCTAAGTCTTTGTGCCAGAAAGTGGAAGTTGATACCGACTTTGCCTCAAAAGCCACCACTTCGCGGCTAAGGGAATCATAGGTAGTGGCAGGGTCTTCACTCTTCGGGAAGAAATGCCCTCCCAAGGCTTCGGGCATAGCTCGGTAGAAGAGGCTGACCAATTGGGTCTCTGTGACCCCGTGGTCAGGTACAGCCACTAATTCGTCCATTGTGCCCTTGAGTGCCCTGACACTCTTCCATTTACGAGAGTGGATTGTCTGAAGCCTATCTGAGGCCTTGACACTACGAGCGACATCAGCAAATCGCTCGCGCAGCAATTTCATGAAATYGACRAGGGGGGTGAACGAYGAGTAGGCAACYGCATCATCATTGCARTTAGCAGAGCGGACTAGGGATCTCGCGAAGCTGGCAGCCTCATCTCTAAGCGCATGAATTGCAATTAGCACGTGCTGATCCGGGGAGACCTGTTGCAAATGCACATAGGTCTTTACGTTCGCCTCCCAATTGTCAAAGTTCTCTTCCCTCTTTCCACTATAGGAATCGAGGAACTTGACTTTGACTGGCTCCCTGCGAGGACGTGCCTCTTCCTCCTTGGAAGCTGTCAGCTTGACGCCTTCAATGGCGCCCATGCAGAATCGTTCTGTCTTCTCGAGGCGATGGTTCACCTCGGACCCTACTGCGCCTACCAGTTCGCGGGTAAAATCCCGAAATCCCATCCGCATCGAGCGCACGGCCATATCCTGACTTCTACTAAACTCATATTGTTCTCCCTGTACCCGGGCCAAGCGCTCAACACTCTGGGCAATGACCTCCACCTTTCGTTGGAGATCCACCTGGGCGGTCAACTGTTCTCTCAGGTTCTTCACCTGCTCTAATTCTTTGGCCGCCTCACTTGCCGCATCCACTCCCCTCTTCTTTTCCCTCATCATCCTGAGCCTCCACTCTATCTTTTTCTCATCCTCCATCGCTTGCCGCTTCAGGGAATCTTCCTCTGCATCCCAATCTTTCATGGCGGCCTCCTGCTCATCCTTGGGGATATACATGGCAACCTCCTCCTCTTCTCCCAAAGACAAGTTGGCAACCCATTCTGAAATCCTTTTTTCCATTTCATCATTTTTACTCCCACTGTACGTCCCTCGTTGCTCTCTCCTCCTTTCCAACGGCTTCTCATCTTCCTCCTCCTCCTCTTCCACCTCTTTTCACTTCGCTTCTTCTTCTTTCTTCAACCTCTCCTTCTCTCTGGCCATCTCCTCCTCAATCTTCTTCAATTTCGCCGCCTGCGCCTCCAACAGGGCCTTCTTCTTGGCCTCCTTCTCTCTCCTCTCCTTCAGGATTGTGGCGGCCTTGGCCTCTTCTTCAGGTGTGTAGGGGTGTGTGGTCGTACCACCCTTGGTCTCTACCCTACACGAAAACGTGTTCCAAAATCCCAACGGAAACATGAAATGCCAAAGGGTCCCCCAGAGGGAGAACCCAATGAGTAAACCATACATGGGGTAGTCATCCATGGTGATAGGTGCACGACAGGACAGTCCCACTCCTCACCACTTAGACCAACCCGCAGACCCACTAACAGACTCTCTAAGGACCACAGGATAGAACCCTGTCAGCTATGGTCACTAGCCTAGACCTACTCTAAGGCTGTCACTACTGAACCAGTGGCTGATCAGGAGGCATTTAAGGAGATCCCCCGTAACTCCTCAAGAATTCTTTAACGTCGCAGACAGGACGACGTGATTAGCTTGGCCCTTACCTGTCGCACCGCCCACAACTCAACTTTTCAGGCCTACCGTGCCACACCGAGCAGCCCGCCAGTCTGTACCGGTCCTTGGGAGKGTTCGTGTCCCCCGGGACATTCGAGTCGTCAGACACAGTCTTTAGCCTTACTTAGTCTGACAGGGGTTCGGGGCAACAAGGCCCTCAACACTTAAACTGCCTGTTGTTTCAGCCCGCAACTCAGTCTTTCAGGCCCACCGTGCCATACCAACCGTGTCCAGCCGGTCAGCACCGGTCCTTGGGAGGGTTATGCCCCCCTGGACAATTGGATCTGCCACAGTCTCAACCCTACTAGATCCGGTAGGGGAGTGGTCAACCAGGCCTATCCTTCATCCACAGAGTACCATCACTTAGGACAGAAGAGACTCGATGTAGAAAGAAGAGACAGACAGACTCAGACTCAGCGAGTACCGTAGGGTAAGTGCACATCCACAGGGTGAGGGGATAGGCTAAGGGCTTGGCGAGATGTTACCAACTCCATCTTGGTCAAAGTCCTGGTCAACGACGCCGGTCAACTCTTCGGTCAACGCTTGGTCAACGCGGCAAGGCCCCGGTCAACACCCCGGTCAACCTTCCAGTCAACGTCCGGTCACCCCTCCGGTCAACTCTCCACCTCGGCTATGGCTGCCGGCACCTTCTCCTTCGCCACCCTTGTCTCTTTCTTCCCCTTCCTTC